GAGGATCTGAGACTGGGATATGGGCAGGTCGCGCACGGGAACGGCAACGCGAGACGAGGTAGAACTGCCGACAGGATGCAAGCTCGAGGGAGGATGGCCTATTGCATCGACTTGGTCGGGCTTGTCTGGGAAGGGCGTCGGACTCCCAGTGCTCTTCGTCATGGGCGAGATAGAATCATCGCGGTCGAGGGGGGGCATTGTTCTCGAGAGGAAACCAGTGAAGGGGGGAGGAAGAGAAGGAGGAGGAGGAGAAGGAGGAGAAGGAGGAGAAGGAGGAGAAGGAGGAGAAGGAGGAGCGGAGCGGAGCGGCTTCGAGAGGGAGAGTTCACAACAAGTTCGAAAACCAGTTGGCGAGTCGTTTCTATTGCTCAATGCATTCTTTTGTAACGAGGTCGGCTACTCCAGTCGGTCGGCAAAGCCACAATCAAACCCGACCGTCTTCTTCTTCTTCTTCTTCTTCTTCGCTTGAGTGCAAGTGAATTGCAAAGCACCTCAAAACATCCGGGGCCGTTCCTTCAATGGAAATGGTAGCAGTATTGGGAGTAGTAGTGGCGGTGGTAGAAGAAGCACCAGCTGCACAGGAGCGGTGGTAAGTGCTAGTCGTGGTGATGGTCGTGGTGATGGTGATGGTGATGTCGGCAGTAGTGGTGGTGGTGGTCGTCGTCGTCGTTGTTGTCGCTGTGGTTGTCGTCGTAGTAGTCGTCGTGGTGTTGTCGACTCGGGAGGTGGCACGCGAGACGCCGCTTATTTGTTCTTGGCGATGATCTAGGTCCTGGTCATCGTTCTAAGTGCACCCTTAGCAACAGCAGCGGGCTGCGTACTCTATTCCTCTAATCCGACACAAGTTGGTGGACTTAGGGTGTCAGGAATGAAATTGTTCGGTGCAGAGAAGATCTAGAGATAGGAGGTAGGTATAAACTTCAAGTATTTACCTAAGGTAGTATCTATCTATCATCTAGGTAGTGTGTATAAACGTTCCTACCTACAGTACGTGATGTAGGTAAGTCAGTACCTTACATAGGTTGGTACCTACCTTATGTATCTAGGTAGGTATTTTGTGGGTGGATACCTACCAGGTATAGTCCCGAGTACAGATAACATCGTCCTAACGCACCTAGGTAGTATAGGTACCGCGTACCTATGTACAGTAGCTAAGGCACCTACTCCGGATAAGGCTTACCCACATATCCAACCCAACTTAGACAAGCGCCAGTAGGTGACAGGTACCTGCACTTAATACACAGTAGTTATGAGGTACATAGTAGCTGAGATTGGCTGAGATCCGCAAGCCCACCTTATTATCCGTGGACCATAAGTACCTATACACGTGTGATAGCCGGTCGGTAACAAGAATAGGGCGTAGGATAGATAAGTGGGCCACCCATGCTGTGCTTACCAAATTCCACATACCAAACTTGAGGTATAACTTGGAACTAGGGTGTTTCCTAGGTCACCAAGTTGAATTTTTTGATATTAACAAAAATGATTGTCCTGATTGTAGAAGTCTGATCTTGAGGTAACTAAGTAATATATAAGTTTATGGGAATCTTGTAGCAGAGTATAGTTTTACGTTGTACCGGTCCGTTGAGTAGTACAAGGATAAAAATACTGCCAGTACCTAATTCAATTCAAATTCATCTTAGCTCCCGGTAACTCAAAACGTGATAAGTAGAATATCAACAAGAAAAGTTGACGACTCGGGGTTATTATGAAAATACCGGCTGTAAAAGTATTCTGTTGGCGGAAAGTCTACGAGCTTAATACGGATTGCCTTGTGCAGCTATTTCATAACTACTTAATATATGTGTAGGTAGTCAGACAAACCGCTCCAGCCTCCCAGTTTCATGCTTTCAATGTCTGAAAAAACCACGCAAGTCGATAGTTACGTACCAATAAGCTGAAAGAAGACAAACACCCTCCAGACGACAGCAGTCTCTTCGTTAGACTAATGAGGAGCACTCTCGGAACACGAGCTATAGGCTAGCAGAGAACATCATATAGATGTCATTCTGTGTGAGTCACTAATTGTCGAGCTCCCAACGGCAAGCCAAACCACATTGGGTGTGAAGAGGGCCGGAATACACTCACTTTCCTTTGGCTATATGGTGCGAGTCACGCAGCTAACTGTGTTCTGAAAGCTGTTGGTAGCATGCCTATCTACAATCTACATAACTTCCTATGCCCCTGACGTCTGTCACATCAGGGTGTAAACAGTCTTGACTATCATGGCTCGTATGTAGTGTGTAGCATTCTGATAGAGTCTTAATATTTCAAACTCGGTTCTCACTACCACATGTATGCGGTAGCAAATCACGACGTCTACAAGTGACATCCTTCGATCTTCATAGTCTATCCATCTCCCCAGGACGCAATGTACGTATCGTCACCTATTCATTCTATGTCCACGCAATATGGCATGAGTACGGTACAGTCCAGGCCCATCTATGCATGCATATCACCCCTCGCCACCGTCCACCAACCAAATTTGGAGGGCATAGCTCACGAGAGAGGACTTCATCCATGTAAGCCACCGCCGTCATCTTCTTCGTCGCCGTCTAGCCATATCTCATGGCCATCACCTTCCCTAGCCCAAAAGCTAATTATCACTCCAACAACCGCCACCCCAGCCATTCCCCAGAAGACTCCTCCTACAAGTCCATGGCTTAGACCCAGCCCGTAAAGCCATCCGCCAGCAACAGGTCCGATGGTCCTCGCAAGACTGCTTGCGCTCTGCCCCAACCCGTGGACGGTGCCCAATACACTCGGATGTGGCGTGCAGTTATTGACCAGAATCGTCTGCGCAGGGAGCGCAAATGTGCGCGCTGAAACCTGCACGAACAGCACACCTCCGATCGCCACCCAGATCGCTAGGCCCGTCTTCTGACTCGGCGGTGCAGTCGAGCTCGGCACAACGGCCAAGAAGGGCAAGATTAGGTACGTGATGGGAAATAAGAAGAGGAACGTGCGCCACGAGCGTACTGTGCCAAGCCGTGCCGACAACCGCGGGTACAGAAACAGCTGCATCAAGATCCCGATCACCCCTAGGAGGGCCATAGCCATCCCTACAGACCGAGGGGCGAGGCCTAGGCCCCCCGTGAACCGGAACGGGAGGTGGGGCTTAAAGCCTGGCGGATCCGGGTCTGCGGGATTATACACAGGTGTAGAGAGAAAGACGAACCAGAGGGAATTGAAGGTACCTACGTGAAAGGCCAGGAAGAAATGGGAAGCGAAGGTAAAAGACACATTGCGCGTGAATATGCGCCTGAACGGTAGTCGGCTCGTATATCGCCGGCGGGCGGTTGGATGCTTTGGCGCTGCCTCGGCTGAGTGGCGCGGTGTGCTTGGAGAGAGCTCGTAGTCGGCTGGCGTGGCCGTGCTAATGCTCGCGTCGCGGGAGTGAATCGGGGTGTAGGCTATAGGGTCGCTGGTTCGACGGAATAATCTCTTTAGTTTGTGACCTAGGATGATACCGACGTCGCGACTGTCACGAAGAGCATCGTGGGTCTGAAGCGTAAGTGACGATTTCATGGAGCAGAGGCGGATATGAAGCGTACCTCTTCAAGCATCAACCAGCACAGCAGTAACGCGGTGCTTAGGAATACGGCGCTGACGATATTAGGCGTCGCGTATGGGAACTTCTTAAAGAACTCGACGTTCTTGAAGGCCGGGAAAGAGCCGGCCGGGTCGGACAATATGCCTCCAAGGATGGGTCCTATAATAACTCCGACATTGAAGGTCATAGGCAGGATCAAGAAGGCCCGAGACTGATACCTACACGGCAGTTAGATGCCGTCGGGGCTCTTAGGCCAGCTATGATTTTATGGCTCCAACTTACTTCTTATCACGGATAATCTCGCTAATCCTACGAGGTAGAAGGTCAGAATTGGCATTCGTCGTTCAAACAAAAGACACACTTACATGGTCCTCATTACACCAACATTGCCGTTCGTAATGCCGCCGAGGGACCTGAAAAACAAGGCTTGCTTATAATTGGTGGAGAATCCAAAACCAAGACATGATATCACTAAACGGCGTCTGTCAGTATGGAGATGACCCGGCGTGCAAGGGCGACATTCTAAGGAGCGGACTGGGAGACCGACGAGTACCGAGGAGGCCAATCATGATAACCGTCTTGCGGCCGACATGTTTCGAGTCAGCTATGCGACCCCATAACATGGCTGTGAAAAATTGAGCGGCGGTGAAGCTGGCGTGCAAGACTCCCGCTTGAGCAGAGATGGCGGCATCGGGTAACGTAGGATCAACTGTATATGGAGGTTATTATTAGTGGAAATCCCCCCTTGGAGCCTTGGAAGCGCGATGCCAGCCGGCCAATACACCAGATGTTTGATATGCGCAGGTGCTGAGAAGAGAAGAAAAGCATGGCCTCGGTGCCACTCACACCATCGCAACTGATAAAACATATACGCCTACACGAGCCATTAGCGAGAGAGACAGGATAAGAGGCAGTATGGTTGTCAGCGAGGACTCGGGACGATGCCTACCTGTAGGGACGTCTGGGTGAGAGGTTCGCTTAGGCGAGAGAGTGTAATGACAAGAAGCTGATCCTTCTTGGGCAAGTCTCTCCAACCGACTACATGACTAGGCGGCTCATTCGACTGAGTTCCCTGATCGGACGAGGTATCGGTATTGACGAGCAAGGCATCGCCACGGTAGGCGGCGACAGAAGCCGCTAGACTAGTATCATCCCCGGTGTAGATATCTATATCACGACTAGTGTCGGAGGCATCTTGATGCAGATTATCCACGCGGCCAGCATCTTCCCCGTCGGGGATGAGTATCTCGTACGCGTGGCGAACCATCGGTAAGTGCTTGGCTGGTGCGGGGTAGATGCTGGGAATATTGCTGGATTTGGGTCTTTAAATACGAGCCTGTCTGTGTGGCTTGTATTCAATAATTATTAATTTATTCATTTTCAAACACTTAAGTATTAATTTACCTATTCATTTTCAAATAGGTTAATAAAAAATTGTTCCGCAGAATGCTCCGTAGAGGAATCGAACCTCCTTCCCCTAGGATCTGCTGCTGACTCCCAGGCATCCTAAGGTGCTCTTACCAATGAGCCAACCGAGCCTAAGTTTTAATTTACCCTACCTTAGTGTTAAAGCTACCTATATGGCACCGTTCATTAGGTAAATCACGTACTATAAATTTTATTTAGCGTTAACTTTACGACCTAAAGCACCAGCCATAAAAGACGTTGCGTTGGCTTTGCGTTAACTCTCTCAATATCGTGTATTTATATATACTTAGTTCATAGTACTGCGTACGCGTTCCGCGGACTTTTATCCAGTTCCCTGAATCTCCTGTGCCCTCCCACAGGCTGCCCTACAGTACAAAGAGGTTCTTTTCTGTCTGCTTTTACAAACTGCCCAGCAGTGCCCTGAAGCTGAGAGACCCGTGGGGACTCCTATAACAAAAGGCTTTACTTTATCTTTTGTTTAGGAAAGGGATTGTTATGTGGGGGTCTGGGGGAGAGGGAAAATATTCTTAGACAGTCCCGACAGAAAAAAGAAATTGATACCTGTCGACGGGGGCCATACATACAGACCACCGACAAACCTATTTTTCTCCTATTTCTGTTTTTAGTTTTTAGTTTTTTTTTCTTGTTTCCTTTTTCCCCTTCATTTTGGACTTAGCGGGCCAGCCATCGTACCTATTAGAGTGCACGAGGCTTATCGTATAGCTCTCCCCTTTTCTCTTATGTCCCTCTTTTTTTTCTCCTTTTAGTAAATCAAGTGGAACAGGTTTGCTTAACGTTAAACAATAGTCGCGATTCTCGTTCTATTATTACCACTAAAATACCAACCATCGGAATCGGAGAAGCAATTAACTTGACAGTAAGAAAGTCTATCAGAGCTTTATCTCCGCCGAAACGGGCTGGCCGTGTCCAGATGGAAGAGCGGATGTCCCGTCTACATCCCCAGCGTATTGCTGGACCTCTGCATTCTGACCGACTGCCATCATGTTCGCATGTTGGCGTGCGAGAATGCCCGCACGAGGACTGTGGCCCGTATACCCATGAGGAAATTTCTGGACCAGCCTCCTCATCTCATCAATCGCCCTGCATTTTGTTAGAAAGCTACTCTGTCACGATTTGGTTTCCCTACTCACATGCTGAGATACACCTTTTGACTGGGAAAGAGGGTTGCCGCGTTTAAATTGAAGCGCCTAAAGTATTAGCTATGCTATCTCGGATGTGACGAGAAGGCTTACATTGCATAGAGAGCATTTCTGTCGTCATAATCATCCTCTGGCGCTGATTTGGGAATGTGCGAGTGGTATGCATTGAAGTATTTCCGTGTGAACTTGTTTCGTTCAGGACGCCAATTCCCAAATTCATCTGTCGCCATTAGCGACAAACAAAGACCAGCGGAAATGAACATAGAGATATACACTCATTATGACCCCAAAAACTAGACGGGTCGAAGACGATGCCCTCCTCAGTATCCTCATCCGCGATGGCGGCGTTACCGCACCAGAGATCTCCGTGGACTAGAGATGGCTGGATAGTATTTCCACTGGTCTCTAGAGGTCGCAAGAGTCTCGGGATCACATTTTCAAAAAAAGGGCGGGAGAAGCTCATCGAGCTCAGCGGACGGCCCTGCACGGGCCTCCCTTATGTTCAAGACATAGCTAAACCCATTCTCAAAGAAGGCTTCCCAACTATCAGACCAAGTGTTATCCTGCGGAAGGTCGCCATTATATGTGACAATATGGAAACCAAACTTGCCCGTTGGCGAAGTGTGGGAGGAGTGAAATTTTGCAAGGTTTGCACAGAACATTGTTGGGTTGGGTAATCCGTCAGTGAACTCGTAGAATTTGCAAATGTATAAATGAGAGTCCTTGTCCGTCTTGAAGGTACCCCAGGCAACCGGTCGAGGGCAGAAATCTGGCGTAATTGCGTATATTGCTGAGGTAGATTCGTATTCGCCTTTCAATGCTTCGAGTCCATGATGTCCTCGAGAGACCTGTGAAAGGATTAGAGAAGTCTTAGGATGCATATGGTATTTTCGCACCTTCATGAAGTAGCTCTCCTAACTATTGTCTTCGTACAAGACATCGATTCGCGATGCCCTTGCCCATGCAGATTCACCTGACTTGGTCACGGACACAACCTGCTTGACATTCGGCAGGACTGCTAATGTGTAAGCACCAACTCTGAAACCTCGTGCCTAACCGACCTTTTATGACATTTTCATCTACAGCTAATGTCGACATGTTTCAACTAGACCCTAATCAAAAGGCGTATTGAAACCAGTTGGCTTGGCTGTTCGATTTGTCTACTGCGTAGTTGGGTCCTGAGGCACGACCAAAACTAAGAGACCCGACCTTTATTATATTCTACCCACTTTGTTTCAGCTGATAACTGGGTAGTCAGAGGCGGCCAATATTATGCAGCCAGTCCGACAGCCTACATATTGTCGGGGTAGTCCGCGGGGGCAAGCGCCAAACTTTCCCTTGGGTGATTGTCTGTACTCTACTGACCGATTCTGACACAACGCTGGGAAAATATCCTCTTTGTCTCTCGTCTAACGCGCCATGGACATGCCAAAATATTTCGTTCTAAACGATGGCCACAAGGTTCCTTCTGTAGGCCTGGGAACATTCCAAGGAGACGAAGGCAGTTCGAAGGTAAAAGAAGCTGTCAAACTTGCTTTAAAACTCAGTTATAGGCACATCGATGGCGCTGCTGCGTACGGCAACGAGAAGGAGATTGGACAGGGGATCAAAGAGTCCGGCGTTCCTCGGGAAGAAATATTTGTGACTTCTAAACTGTAATACTAGACATAACTGTCGAGGGGCGATTCCAACGGGAACTAACAACATACCACAGACCACAGACTGCGCACGCCCCCGCAAGTGTCGAGAAGACCTTGTCCCAAACATTGAAAGATGCGGATCTCGACTACGGTTAGTCAACTTAGATAACACTTCACAAGTGGTTAACTGATAGAAAAATAGTCGACTTGTATCTGATGCATTGTATGAAAATGCCTGCCGAACTCCATGTCTTCGGCTAGGATGTACAAGGTAACTAAGCTAACTGTATCAACAAGTCCCCCATGCATACAAAGCGGATGAGGATTTGAAGACAATTCGACACGCAAGCGGCAACGGCAAACCGGTCATTGATTATGATTTATCACGTAAATATGCTTCGACCTGGAAAGCAATGGAAGCTTTGGTGAAAACTGGTAGGGTACGATCAATAGGTATGCGTGGCGTGTCGCGAGCCGACGCCACGAAATTGTTGCTGATACTAGTAACGAATAGGGCTCTCAAATTTCAACATCCTCAAAATGAAGAACCTTTTGTCTACTGCAACGATAGTCCCAGCGGTAAACCAAGTCGAGCTGCATCCGTCAGTACTCTACCAAACAAAGTACTTGAAGTCAGAAGTCAGGGGCTCATGAAACTAGATATCTCCCACAGAATGAACTACTAGAGTTCTCGAGGCGGTACGGTATCTTGCTGATGGCACACCAACCCCTCGGCGGCCGGCCTGTGGGTGTCGTTCGTGCTCATACCGATATCCCGCGGCCAATCGACGATCCGATGGTGAGCAATTGCCTCTTACGCTTTAAATTATGTCACTGACCCCCAAATAAGCTCATTGCGACAGCGTCGAGGCTCGGTAAGAGCACAGCTCAGGTGAGTATTCTATTGCTTTCCCATGGCAGACTAACTAATCCTTCGGCACCGGGCAGACAGCCTTGTCATGGGCCGTGCAAAAGGGAATCCCGGTAGTTCCAAAGTCGGTACAGGAGCACCATCTGAGACAGAATCTTCAACTCTTCAAGCTACGTGAGGCGGATTTTCGGAGCATCGAGGATCTATTGTCCCAAAGAGGGCCCGTTCGTTTCCTCGACCCTTCACCGCACATTGGTTTCGACATATTTGACGAGGAAAATGACCAGCCAACTGCCAGCTGCTGATAAGGCACCCTGGGACGAGCTCACAGGATCGCAGGGCAGTAGTGAGCGTAGGTTAGAGGACCTACATATGTAGTAACTAGGCAATTTGGGGCGCAAATAGACTCGTTCCCAGGGAAACTACACGTACCCTATTAGCTAGAGCTCTGAATAAGTCTGTTTCCCGAAGGTTGTTTTCACTCCCGTGCACCAGAATACGGTGAAGTACAAGGCCAAAACAAGAACAGATCGACGAGCCCCTGCCACGTACTATACAAGCCACCAAATAAGCCCCCAAGCTCTGTAGCGGATGCTGTTGCGAGCGACCCTAACCTCGCGCAGAGTGGCAAACATAGTCTCATCACATTTTTTCCGGCAGCAAACACATCACCGCGAGAAACCTTGCATTTGATCTTGAATTCACAACGACAGTCGCATTCGGACGATGTTGATTTAGTTCTTGCGAACCTCGTTCGTTGCGGGACGTACCGAGGTAAATTAGTTGCGTTCCCTCCGGAGTCCACCCTCGGCTTTCAAGTCATTGTCGAGCAGCCCCAAGAAGGCCAGCCGTTTCAACCACACGCGTTCTGTTCAAAAGGATCACCTCAGAGCTAATCAAGCATCTCGTAGATCCGAAAGTGATCGCTCGTTCACGTCCTCTCCCAACAAGACCTCGGTCGATCTCAATATGGTTCATTTGTTGCGGTCCTGTAGAGCCGAGAGTAATTTCTCTCTGCCTAGTAGTGATGAGGAGAGTGACGAAAAGGGGCCACTAGGCCTGACTACCCTCCACGACCCGCAAGAAGCAACACCAGCGGTCGACATCGTTTTTGTACATGGTCTTGGTGGTGGCAGCCGCAGAACATGGGCCAGGACTGCCGACCCTTTGCACTTCTGGCCAAAAGCATGGCTTCCAGAGGATGTGGATTTCAGAGATGCCCGCATTCACTCGTTCGGCTATAATGCCGACTGGAGTGAACGACGTCAAAGTATCCTGAATATCCACGATTTTGCTCAGTCCCTTTTGGGGGAAATCAAGAACAACCCCTCAATCAGGAGGGGCAACACGAAGCTAATCCTAGTAGGCCATAGCATGGGAGGGTGTGTTGTGAAGAAAGCATACATTCTTGCTCGTCAAGACATCACTTGTAAAGCTCT